AGAATAAATATCCAACAGGAAAACATAAATTAGGGTGTTGTGCTGACTGACTGTTCTTCTCTCCTATTGGCTGTTATTTGGTGGGCTTACATTTTATTCCACCAATCACAGTTAAGTAAGGGATTGCTAGACGTATGCAATATGTACGTCACCACGACCAAAAGCTATAGGGTTCCTGGGAAAGGGCACCTCTGTTAGGGCCCCTGGGAGGGCCCGTGGGGCATCGCTGCTCCTAAAGAGAGACCCTGGGGCCGCTGCTGCCCATACAAAGAGCCCCTGGGGGCGTCGTTACCCCTTGACAGGCCTCTCAGGGTGTAACCAGTCCTGAGAGGTCCACTGAGGATGCCGCTGCAGCTGGGAGGACCCCTGTGGGCGCCACCTCCCCTGGGAGAGCCACTAAGTACACCACCATCCTTGGGAGGGCCCCTGGGGGCACCATTACCCCTGGGTGGTCCCCTGGGAGCGCCGCTGCCTCTGGGAATTTCCCGGGGAGCGCCGTCGCCCCTAAGTTGGCTCCTGAGGGAGCAGTTTCTCTTGGGAGGGCCCCGCAGGGCTCTGTCGCCCCTGGGATAGTCTTTGGAGCCAAGGTTGCCCTTAGGAGGGTCCCTGGGGGGGCAACGGCCTCTGGGAGGGTCTGTGGGGGCACCATCATCCTTGGTAGGGCCACTGGGGGCACCAGAAGTTCTGACAGGGCCCCTTGTAGGTCCCCTGGGAGCGTCTACACCTCTGGGAGAGCCCCTGAAGCCGTCGCATATGGTAGGGCAAATGGGAAGGCCCCAGGGTGAACTGTCACTGTAGGGACCCTGGGGGCAGCTGTTCATGCACATTTAGAACAATGGGATATATGAATAGATACACCGCCCATTGCATTTCCAGTATCATCGCATGAAAAACAATGTAAAGGAGAATAAATATCCAACAGGAAAACATAAATTAGGGTGTTGTGCTGACTGACTGTTCTTCTCTCCTATTGGCTGTTATTTGGTGGGTTTACATTTTATTCCACCAATCACGGTTAAGTAAGGGATTGCTGGACGTATGCAATATGTACAACACCACGCCCAAAAGCTATAGGGTTCCTGGGAGAGGGCGCATCGCTGCACTTATGGAGAGCCCCTGGGGGCGCTGCTGCAAATACAAAGAGCCCTTGGGGGCGTCGTTGACCCTTGACAGGCCTATCAGGGTGTAACCAGTCCTGAGAGGTCCACTGAGGACGCCGCTGTAGCTAGAAGGGCCCCTGTGGGCGCCACAACCCCTGGGAGAGCTCCTAAGTACACCACCATCCTTGGGAGGGCCCCTGGGGGCACCATTGCACCAGAGGGGTACCCTGGGAACGCCGCTACCTCTCGGAATTCCCCTGGGGGCGCCATCGCCCCTAAGTGGTCTCCTGAGGGTGCAGTTTCTCTTGGGAGGGCCCGGCAGGGCTCTGTCGCCCCTGGGATAGCCTTGGGAACCAAGGGTGCCCTTAGGAGGGTCCCGGGGGCGCAACCGCCTCTGGGAGGGTCTGTGGGGGCGCCATCATCCTTGGTAGGGCCACTGGGGGCACCAGAAGTTCTGACAGGGCCCCTTGCAGTTCCCCTGGCAGCGTCTACACCCCTGGGAGAGCCCCTCAAGCCGTCGCATATGGTAGGGCAAATGGGAAGGCCCCAGGTAGAACTGTCACTGTAGGGACCCTGGGGGCAGCTGTTCATGCTCATTTAGAACAATGGGATATATGAATAGATACACCGCCCATTGCATTTCCAGTATCATCGCAAGAAAAACAATGTAAAGGAGAATAAATATCCAACAGGAAAACATAAATTAGGGTGTTGTGCTGACTGACTGTTCTTCTCTCCTATTGGCTGTTATTTGGTGGGTTTACATTTTATTCCACCAATCACGGTTAAGTAAGGGATTGCTGGACGTATGCAATATGTACAACACCACGCCCAAAAGCTATAGGGTTCCTGGGAGAGGGCGCATCGCTGCACTTATGGAGAGCCCCTGGGGGCGCTGCTGCAAATACAAAGAGCCCTTGGGGGCGTCGTTGACCCTTGACAGGCCTATCAGGGTGTAACCAGTCCTGAGAGGTCCACTGAGGACGCCGCTGTAGCTAGAAGGGCCCCTGTGGGCGCCACAACCCCTGGGAGAGCTCCTAAGTACACCACCATCCTTGGGAGGGCCCCTGGGGGCACCATTGCACCAGAGGGGTACCCTGGGAACGCCGCTACCTCTCGGAATTCCCCTGGGGGCGCCATCGCCCCTAAGTGGTCTCCTGAGGGTGCAGTTTCTCTTGGGAGGGCCCGGCAGGGCTTTGTCGCCCCTGGGATAGCCTTGGGAACCAAGGGTGCCCTTAGGAGGGTCCCGGGGGCGCAACCGCCTCTGGGAGGGTCTGTGGGGGCGCCATCATCCTTGGTAGGGCCACTGGGGGCACCAGAAGTTCTGACAGGGCCCCTTGCAGTTCCCCTGGCAGCGTCTACACCCCTGGGAGAGCCCCTCAAGCCGTCGCATATGGTAGGGCAAATGGGAAGGACCCAGGTAGAACTGTCACTGTAGGGACCCTGGGGGCAGCTGTTCATGCTCATTTAGAACAATGGGATATATGAATAGATACACCGCCCATTGCATTTCCAGTATCATCGCAAGAAAAACAATGTAAACGAGAATAAATATCCAACAGGAAAACATAAATTAGGGTGTTGTGCTGACTGACTGTTCTTCTCTCCTATTGGCTGTTATTTGGTGGGTTTACATTTTATTCCACCAATCACAGTTAAGTAAGGGATTTCTGGACGTATGCAATATGTACGTCACCACGACCAAAAGCTATAGGGTTCCTGGGAGGGGGCGCCTCTGGTAGGGCCCCTGGGATCGCTGCTGCCCATACAAAGAGCCCCTGGGGGCGTCGTTACCCCTTGACAGGCCTCTCAGGGTGTAACCAGTCCTGATTGGTCCACTGAGGATGCCGCTGCAGCTGGGAGATCCCCTGTGGGCGCCACCTCCCCTCGGAGAGCCACTAAAGACGCCACCATCCCTGGGAGGCCCCCTGGGGGCACCGTTACCCCTGGGTGGTGCCCTGGGAGCGCCGCTACCTCTGGAAATTCCCTTGGGGTGCCGTCCCCCCTAAGTGGGCTCCTGCAGACACAGTTTCCCCTCGGAGAGCCTCAGAGGGCTCCGTCGCCCCTGGGATAGCCTTGGCGGCGAGGTCGCCCTTAGGAGGGTCCCTTGGGGCGCAACCGCCTCTGGGAGGGTTTGTGACGGCACCACCATCATTGGTAAGGCCACTGGGGGAACCACAGCCCCTGACAGGGCCCCTTGTAAGTCCCCTGGGAGCGCCAACAACCCTGGAAAAGCCACTAAAGCCGTCGCATATGGTAGGGCAAATGGGAAGGCCCCAGGTAGAACTGTCACTGTAGGGCCACTGGGGGCACCAGAAGTTCTGACAGGGCCCCTTGCAGGTCCCCTGGCAGCGTCTACACCCCTGGGAGAGCCCCTCAAGCCGTCGCATATGGTAGGGCAAATGGGAAGGCCCCAGGTAGAACTGTCACTGTAGGGACCCTGGGGGCAGCTGTTCATGCTCATTTAGAACAATGGGATATATAAATAGATACACCGCCCATTGCATTTCCAGTATCATCGCAAGAAAAACAATGTAAAGGAGAATAAATATCCAACAGGAAAACATAAATTAGGGTGTTGTGCTGACTGACTGTTCTTCTCTCCTATTGGCTGTTATTTGGTGGGTTTACATTTTCTTCCACCAATCACAGTTAAGTAAGGGATTTCTGGACGTATGCAATATGTACGACACCACAACCAAAAGCTATAGGGTTCATGGGAAAGGGCACATCTGTTAGGGCCCCTGGGAGGGCCCCTGGGGCATCGCTGCTCGTAAGGAGAGCCCCTGGGGTCGCTGCTGCCCATACAAAGAGCCCCTGGGGGCGTCGTTACCCCTTGACAGGCCTCTCAGGGTGTAACCAGTCCTGAGAGGTCCACTGAGGACGCGGCTGCAGCTGGGAGGGCCTCTGTGGGCGCCACCTCCCCTGGGAGAGCCCCTAAGTACGCCACCATCCTTGGGTTAGCCCTTGGGGGCACCGTTACTCCTGGGTGGTGCCCTGGGAGCGCCGCTACCTCTGGGAATTCCCCTGGGGGCGGCGTCGCCCCGAAGTGGGCTCCTTTGGGCGCAGTTTCCCCAGGGAGGGCCCCAGAGGGCTCCGTCGCCTCTGGGATAGAGTTTGGGGGCGAGGTAGCCCTTAGGAGGGTCCTTTGGGGAGCAACCGCCTCTGGGAGGGTCTGTGACGGCGCCACCATCCTTGGTAGGGCCACTGGGGGAACCACAGCCCCTGACAGGGCCCCTTGTAAGTACCCTGGGAGCACCAACTCCCCTCGGAGAGCCCCTGAAGCCGTCGCATATGGTAGGGCAAATGGGAAGGCCCCAGGGGGAACTGTCACTTTAGGGACCCTGGGGGCAGCTGTTCATGCTCATTTAGAACAATGGGATATATGAATAGATACACCGCCCATTGCATTTCCAGTATCATCGCATGAAAAACAATGTAAAGGAGAATAAATATCCAACAGGAAAACATAAATTAGGGTGTTGTGCTGACTGACTGTTCTTCTCTCCTATTGGCTGTTATTTGGTGGGCTTACATTTTATTCCACCAATCACAGTTCAGTAAGGGATTGCTGGACGTATGCAATATATACGTCACCACGACCAAAAGCTATAGGGTTCCTGGGAGGGGGCGCCTCTGTTAGGGCCCCTGGGGCATTGCTGCGTCTAAGGAGAGCCCTGGGGGCGCTGCTGCCCATACAATCAGCCCCTGGGGGCGTCGTTACCCCTTGACAGGCTTCTCTGGGTGTAACCAGTCCTGAGAGGTCCACTGAGGACGCCGCTGCAGCTGGGAGGGCCCCTGTGGGCGCCACCTCCCCTGGGAGAGCCCCTAAGTACACCACCATTCTTGGGAGGGCCCCTGGGGGCACCGTTACCCCTGGGTGGTGCCCTGGGAGCGCCGCTACCTCTGGAAATTCCCTGGGGGTGCCGTCCCCCCTAAGTGGGCTCCTGCAGACACAGTTTCCCCTGGGAGAGCCTCAGAGGGCTCCGTCGCCCCTGGGATAGCCTTGGCGGCGAGGTCGCCCTTAGGAGGGTCCCTTGGGGCGCAACCGCCTCTGGGAGGGTCTGTGACGGCGCTACCATCATTGGTAAGGCCACTGGGGGAACCACAGCCCCTGACAGGGCCCCTTATAAGTCCCCTGGGAGCGCCAACACCCCTGGAAAAGCCACTAAAGCCGTCGCAGATGGTAGGGCAAATGGGAAGGCCCCAGGGAGGACTGTGACTGTACGGACCCTGAAGGCAGCTGTTCACGCACATTTAGAACAATGGGATATATGAATAGAGACACAGCCCATTGCATTTCCAGTATCATCGCAAGAAAAACAATGTAAAGGAGAATAAATATCCAACAGGAAAACATAAATTACGGTGTTGTGCTGACTGACTGTTCTTCTCTCCTATTGGCTGTTATTTGGTGGGCTTACATTTTATTCCACCAATCACAGTTAAGTAAGGGATTGCTGGACGTATGCAATATGTACGACACCACGACCAAAAGCTATAGGGTTCCTGGGAAAGGGCACCTCTGTTAGGGCCCCTGGGAGGGCCCGTGGGGCATCGCTGCTCCTAAAGAGAGACCCTGGGGCCGCTGCTGCCCATACAAAGAGCCCCTGGGGGCGTCGTTACCCCTTGACAGGCCTCTCAGGGTGTAATCAGTCCTGAGAGGTCCACTGAGGATGCCGCTGCAGCTGGGAGGACCCCTGTGGGCGCCACCTCCCCTGGGAGAGCCACTAAGTACGCCACCATCCTTGGGAGGGCCCCTGGGGGCACCATTACCCCTGGGTGGTCCCCTGGGAGCGCCGCTGCCTCTGGGAATTTCCCGGGGAGCGCCGTCGCCCCTAAGTGGGCTCCTGAGGGAGCAGTTTCTCTTGGGAGGGCCCCGCAGGGCTCTGTCGCCCCTGGGATAGCCTTGGGAACCAAGGGTGCCCTTAGGAGGGTCCCTGGCGGGGCAAGGGCCTCTGGGAGGGTCTGTGGGGGCACCATCATCCTTGGTAGGGCCACTGGGGGCACCAGAAGTTCTGACAGGGCTCTTGTAGGTCCCCGGGAGCGTCTACACCCCTGGGAGAGCCCCTGAAGCCGTCGCATATGGTAGGGCAAATGGGAAGGCCCCAGGGTGAGCTGTCACTGTAGGGACCCTGGGGGCAGCTATTTAGTACAATGGGATATAAGAATAGATACACCGCCCATTGCATTTCCAGTATCATCGCATGAAAAACAATGTAAAGGAGAATAAATATCCAACAGGAAAACATAAATTAGGGTGTTGTGCTGACTGACTGTTCTTCTCTCCTATTGGCTGTTATTTGGTGGGTTTACATTTTATTCCACCAATCACAGTTAAGTAAGGGATTGCTGGACGTATGCAATATGTACGTCACCACGACCAAAAGCTATAGGGTTCCTGGGAGGGGGCGCATCGCCGAATTGCTGACCCTGGGGGCCTTTCCTTTTAAGCTAAAAGAGCCCTTGGGGAAACGTCGTGACCCTTGACAGGCTCTCAGGGTGTAACCAGTCCTGAGAGGTCACTGAGACGCCGCTGCAGCTAGAAGGGGCCCCTGTAGAATAATCGCCACAACCCCTAAGGAGAGCTCAGTACATATCCTTGGGAGGGCTGGGGCACCTTTGCACAGAAAGGGTACCCTGGGAAACGCCACTTCATCGGGGTATTCACAGAGTGCGCCATCGCCCGATAGGGTCTCCCTGAGGTGCAGTTTCTCTTGGGCCCCGCAAATCTATCTTTCGAGATGGCCTTCAGGATCCAGGGTGCCTTAAAGGCCAGGGGGCGCAACCGCTTCTGGGAGGGTCTGTTGGGGGCGCCATCATCATAGTAGGGCCACTGGGGGCACCAGAAGTTCTGACGGGCCTTGCAGTTCCTGGGAGCGCCAACACCCCTGGAAAAGCCACTAAAGCCGTCGCAGATGGTAGGGCAAATGGGAAGGCCCCAGGTGAACTGTCACTGTAGGGACCCTGGAGGCAGCTGTTCATGCACATTTAGAACAATGGGATATATGAATAGATACACCGCCCATTGCATTTCCAGTATCATCGCAAGAAAAACAATGTAAAGGAGAATAAATATCCAACAGGAAAACATAAATTAGGGTGTTGTGCTGACTGACTGTTCTTCTCTCCTATTGGCTGTTATTTGGTGGGTTTACATTATATTCCACCAATCACAGTTAAGTAAGGGATTTCTGGACGTATGCAATATGTACGTCACCACGACCAAAAGCTATAGGGTTCCTGGGAGGGGGCGCCTCTGGTAGGGCCCCTGGGATCGCTGCTGCCCATACAAAGAGCCCCTGGGGGCGTCGTTACCCCTTGACAGGCCTCTCAGGGTGTAACCAGTCCTGATAGGTCCACTGAGGATGCCGCTGCAGCTGGGAGGTCCCCTGTGGGCGCCACCTCCCCTCGGAGAGCCACTAAGGACGCCACCATCCCTGGGAGGCCCCCTGGGGGCACCGTTACCCCTGGGTGGTGCCCTGGGAGCGCCGCTACCTCTGGAAATTCCCTTGGGGTGCCGTCCCCCCTAAGTGGGCTCCTGCAGACACAGTTTCCCCTGGGAGAGCCTCAGAGGGCTCCGTCGCCCCTGGGATAGCCTTGGCGGCGAGGTCGCCCTTAGGAGGGTCCCTTGGGGCGCAACCGCCTCTGGGAGGGTCTGTGACGGCACCACCATCATTGGTAAGGCCACTGGGGGAACCACAGCCCCTGACAGGGCCCCTTGTAAGTCCCCTGGGAGCGCCAACAACCCTGGAAAAGCCACTAAAGCCGTCGCATATGGTAGGGCAAATGGGAAGGCCCCTGGTAGAACTGTCACTGTAGGGCCACTAGAAGCACCAGAAGTTCTGACAGGGCCCCTTGCAGGTCCCCTGGCAGCGTCTACACCCCTGGGAGAGCCCCTCAAGCCGTCTTTATGGTAGAGACAAATGGAAGGCCCCAGGTAGAACTGACACTGTATGCAAGGGACCCTGGGGAACCAGCTGTTCATGCTCTCATTTAGAACAATGGAATATATGAATAGATACACCGCCCGTGCATTTCCAGTATCATCGCAAGAAAAACAATGTAAAGGAGAATAAATATCCAACAGGAAAACATAAATTAGGGTGTTGTGCTGACTGACTGTTCTTCTCTCCTATTGGCTGTTATTTGTTGGGTATACATTTTATTCCACCAATCACAGTTAAGTAAGGGATTTCTGGACGTATGCAATATGTACGACACCACGAACAAAAGCTATAGGGTTCATGGGAAAGGGCACATCTGTTAGGGCCCCTGGGAGGGCCCCTGGGGCATCGCTGCTCCTAAGGAGAGCCCCTGGGGTCGCTGCTGCCCATACAAAGAGCCCCTGGGGGCGTCGTTACCCCTTGACAGGCCTCTCAGGGTGTAACCAGTCCTGAGAGGTCCACTGAGGACGCCGCTGCAGCTGGGAGGGCCTCTGTGGGCGCCACCTCCCCTGGGAGAGCCCCTAAGTACGCCACCATCCTTGGGTTAGCCCTTGGGGGCACCGTTACTCCTGGGTGGTGCCCTGGGAGCGCCGCTACCTCTGGGAATTCCCCTGGGGGCGCCGTCGCCCTGAAGTGGGCTCCTGGGGGCGCAGTTTCCCCAGGGAGGGCCCCAGAGGGCTCCCTCGCCTCTGGGATAGAGTTTGGGGGCGAGGTAGCCCTTAGGGGGGTCCTTTGGGGAGCAACCGCCTCTGGGAGGGTCTGTGACGGCGCCACCATCCTAGGTAGGGCCACTGGGGGAACCACAGCCCCTGACAGGGCCCCTTGTAAGTACCCTGGGAGCACCAACTCCCCTCGGAGAGCCCCTTAAGCCGTCGCATATGGTAGGGCAAATGGGAAGGCCCCAGGGGGAACTGTCACTTTAGGGACCCTTGGGGCAGCTGTTCATGCTCATTGAGAACAATGGGATATATGAATAGATACACCGCCCATTACATTTCCAGTATCATCGCATGAAAAACAATGTAAAGGACAAAAAATATCCAACAGGAAAACATAAATTAGGGTGTTGTGCTGACTGACTGTTCTTCTCTCCTATTGGCTGTTATTTGGTGGGCTTACATTTTATTCCACCAATCACAGTTCAGTAAGGGATTGCTGGGCGTATGCAATATATACGTCACCACGACCAAAAGCTATAGGGTTCCTGGGAGGGGGCGCCTCTGTTAGGGCCCCTGGGGCATTGCTGCGTCTAAGGAGAGCCCCTGGGGGCGCTGCTGCCCATACAATCAGCCCCTGGAGGCGTCGTTACCCCTTGACAGGCTTCTCTGGGTGTAACCAGTCCTGAGAGGTCCACTGAGGACGCCGCTGCAGCTGGGAGGGCCCCTGTGGGCGCCACCTCCCCTGGGAGAGCCCCTAAGTACGCCACCATCCTTGGGATGGCCCCTGGGGGCACTGTTACCCCTGGGTGGTGCCCTGGGAGCGCCGCTACCTCTGGAAATTCCCTGGGGGTGCCGTCCTCCCTAAGTGGGCTCCTGCAGACACAGTTTCCCCTGGGAGAGCCTCAGAGGGCTCCGTCGCCCCTGGGATAGCCTTGGCGGCGAGGTCGCCCTTAGGAGGGTCCCTTGGGGCGCAACCGCCTCTGGGAGGGTCTGTGACGGCGCTACCATCATTGGTAAGGCCACTGGGGGAACCACAGCCCTTGACAGGGCCCCTTGTAAGTCCCCTGGGAGCGCCAACACCCCTGGAAAAGCCACTAAAGCCGTCGCAGATGGTAGGGCAAATGGGAAGGCCCCAGGTAGAACTGTCACTGTAGGGACCCTGGGGGCAGCTGTTCATGCTCATTTAGAACAATGGGATATATGAATAGATACACAGCCCATTGCATTTCCAGTATCATCGCATGAAAAACAATGTAAAGGAGAAAAAATATCCAACAGGAAAACATAAATTAGGGTGTTGTGCTGACTGACTGTTCTTCTCTCCTATTGGCTGTTATTTGGTGGGCTTACATTTTATTCCACCAATCACAGTTAAGTAAGGGATTGCTAGACGTATGCAATATGTACGACACCAGGACCAAAAGCTATAGGCTTCCTGGGAAAGGGCACCTCTGTTAGGGCCCCTGGGAGGGCCCGTGGGGCATCGCTGCTCCTAAAGAGAGACCCTGGGGCCGCTGCTGCCCATACAAAGAGCCCCTGGGGGCGTCGTTACCCCTTGACAGGCCTCTCAGGGTGTAACCAGTCCTGAGAGGTCCACTGAGGATGCCGCTGCAGCTGGGAGGACCCCTGTGGGCGCCACCTCCCCTGGGAGAGCCACTAAGTACGCCACCATCCTTGGGAGGGCCCCTGGGGGCACCATTACCCCTGGGTGGTCCCCTGGGAGCTCCGCTGCCTCTGGGAATTTCCCGGGAAGCGCCGTCACCCCTAAGTGAGCTCCTGAGGGAGCAGTTTCTCTTGGGAGGGCCCCGCAGGGCTCTGTCGCCCCTGGGATAGCCTTTGGAGCCAAGGTTGCCCTTAGGAGGGTCCCTGGGGGGGCAACGGCCTCTGGGAGGGTCTGTGGGGGCACCATCATCCTTGGTAGGGCCACTGGGGGCACCAGAAGTTCTGACAGGGCCCCTTGTAGGTCCCCTGGGAGCGTCTACACCCCTGGGAGAGCCCCTGAAGCCGTCGCATATGGTAGGGCAAATGGGAAGGCCCCAGGGTGAACTGTCACTGTAGGGAACCTGGGGGCAGCTGTTCACGCACATTTAGTACAATGGGATATAAGAATAGATACACCGCCCATTGCATTTCCAGTATCATCGCATGAAAAACAATGTAAAGGAGAATAAATATCCAACAGGAAAACATAAATTAGGGTGTTGTGCTGACTGACTGTTCTTCTCTCCTATTGGCTGTTATTTGGTGGGTTTACATTTTATTCCACCAATCACGGTTAAGTAAGGGATTGCTGGACGTATGCAATATGTACAACACCACGCCCAAAAGCTATAGGGTTCCTGGGAGAGGGCGCATCGCTGCACTTATGGAGAGCCCCTGGGGGCGCTGCTGCAAATACAAAGAGCCCTTGGGGGCGTCGTTGACCCTTGACAGGCGTATCAGGGTGTAACCAGTCCTGAGAGGTCCACTGAGGACGCCGCTGCAGCTAGAAGGGCCCCTGTGGGCGCCACAACCCCTGGGAGAGCTCCTAAGTACACCACCATCCTTGGGAGGGCCCCTGGGAGCACCATTGCACCAGAGGGGTACCCTGGGAGCGCCGCTACCTCTGGGAATTCCCCTGGGGGCGCCATCGCCCCTAAGTGGTCTCCTGAGGGTGCAGTTTCTCTTGGGAGGGCCCCGCAGGGCTCTGTCGCCCCTGGGATAGCCTTGGGAACCAAAAGTGCCCTTAGGAGGGTCCCGGGGGCGCAACCGCCTCTGGGAGGGTCTGTGGGGGCGCCATCATCCTTGGTAGGGCCACTGGGGGCACCAGAAGTTCTGACAGGGCCCCTTGCAGTTCCCCTGGCAGCGTCTACACCCCTGGGAGAGCCCCTCAAGCCGTCGCATATGGTAGGGCAAATGGGAAGGCCCCAGGTAGAACTGTCACTGTAGGGACCCTGGGGGCAGCTGTTCATGCTCATTTAGAACAATGGGATATATGAATAGATACACCGCCCATTGCATTTCCAGTATCATCGCAAGAAAAACAATGTGAAGGAGAATAAATATCCAACAGGAAAACATAAATTAGGGTGTTGTGCTGACTGACTGTTCTTCTCTCCTATTGGCTGTTATTTGGTGGGTTTACATTTTATTCCACCAATCACAGTTAAGTAAGGGATTGCTAGACGTATGCAATATGTACGTCACCACGACCAAAAGCTATAGGGTTCCTGGGAGGGGGCGCCTCTGGTAGGGCCCCTGGGGGCGCTGCTGCCCATACAAAGAGCCCCTGGGGGCGTCGTTACCCCTTGACAGGCCTCTCAGGGTGTAACCAGTCCTGATAGGTCCACTGAGGATGCCGCTGCAGCTGGGAGGTGCCCTGTGGGCGCCACCTCCCCTCGGAGAGCCACTAAGGACGCCACCATCCCTGGGAGGCCCCCTGGGGGCACCGTTACCCCTGGGTGGTGCCCTGGGAGCGCCGCTACCTCTGGAAATTCCCTTGGGGTGCCGTCCCCCCTAAGTGGGCTCCTGCAGACACAGATTCCCCTGGGAGAGCCTCAGAGGGCTCCGTCGCCCCTGGGATAGCCTTGGCGGCGAGGTCGCCCTTAGGAGGGTCCCTTGGGGCGCAACCGCCTCTGGGAGGGTCTGTGACGGCACCACCATCATTGGTAAGGCCACTGGGGGAACCACAGCCCCTGACAGGGCCCCTTGTAAGTCCCCTGGGAGCGCCAACAACCCTGGAAAAGCCACTAAAGCCGTCGCATATGGTAGGGCAAATGGGAAGGCCCCAGGTAGAACTGTCACTGTAGGGCCACTGGGGCACCAGAAGTTCTGACAGGGCCCCTTGCAGGTCCCCTGGCAGCGTCTACACCCTTGGGAGAGCCCCTCAAGCCGTCGCATATGGTAGGGCAAATGGGAAGGCCCCAGGTAGAACTGTCACTGCAGGGACCCTGGGGGCAGCTGTTCATGCTCATTTAGAACAATGGGATATATGAATAGATACACCGCCCATTGCATTTCCAGTATCATCGCAAGAAAAACAATGTAAAGGAGAATAAATATCCAACAGGAAAACATAAATTAGGGTGTTGTGCTGACTGACTGTTCTTCTCTCCTATTGGCTGTTATTTGGTGGGTTTACATTTTATTCCACCAATCACAGTTAAGTAAGGGATTTCTGGACGTATGCAATATGTACGTCACCACGACCAAAAGCTATAGGGTTCCTGGGAGGGGGCGCCTCTGGTAGGGCCCCTGGGATCGCTGCTGCCCATACAAAGAGCCCCTGGGGGCGTCGTTACCCCTTGACAGGCCTCTCAGGGTGTAACCAGTCCTGATAGGTCCACTGAGGATGCCGCTGCAGCTGGGAGGTCCCCTGTGGGCGCCACCTCCCCTCGGAGAGCCACTAAGGACGCCACCATCCCTGGGAGGCCCCCTGGGGGCACCGTTACCCCTGGGTGGTGCCCTGGGAGCGCCGCTACCTCTGGAAATTCCCTTGGGGTGCCGTCCCCCCTAAGTGGGCTCCTGCAGACACAGTTTCCCCTGGGAGAGCCTCAGAGGGCTCCGTCGCCCCTGGGATAGCCTTGGCGGCGAGGTCGCCCTTAGGAGGGTCCCTTGGGGCGCAACCGCCTCTGGGAGGGTTTGTGACGGCACCACCATCATTGGTAAGGCCACTGGGGGAACCACAGCCCCTGACAGGGCCCCTTGTAAGTCCCCTGGGAGCGCCAACAACCCTGGAAAAGCCACTAAAGCCGTCGCATATGGTAGGGCAAATGGGAAGGCCCCAGGTAGAACTGTCACTGTAGGGCCACTGGGGGCACCAGAAGTTCTGACAGGGCCCCTTGCAGGTCCCCTGGCAGCGTCTACACCCCTGGGAGAGCCCCTCAAGCCGTCGCATATGGTAGGGCAAATGGGAAGGCCCCAGGTAGAACTGTCACTGTAGGGACCCTGGGGGCAGCTGTTCATGCTCATTTAGAACAATGGGATATATGAATAGATACACCGCCCATTGCATTTCCAGTATCATCGCAAGAAAAACAATGTAAAGGAGAATAAATATCCAACAGGAAAACATAAATTAGGGTGTTGTGCTGACTGACTGTTCTTCTCTCCTATTGGCTAATATTTGTTGGGTATATATTTTATTCCACCAATCACAGTTAAGTAAGGGATTTCTGGACGTATGCAATATGTACGACACCACGAACAAAAGCTATAGGGTTCATGGGAAAGGGCACATCTGTTAGGGCCCCTGGGAGGGCCCCTGGGGCATCGCTGCTCCTAAGGAGACCCCCTGGGGTCGCTGCTGCCCATACAAAGAGCCCCTGGGGGCGTTGTTACCCCTTGACAGGCCTCTCAGGGTGTAACCAGTCCTGAGAGGTCCACTGAGGATGCCGCTGCAGCTGGGAGGGCCTCTGTGGGCGCCACCTTCCCTGGGAGAGCCCCTAAGTACGCCACCATCCTTGGGTTAGCCCTTGGGGGCACCGATACTCCTGGGTGGTGCCCTGGGAGCGCCGCTACCTCTGGGAATTCCCCTGGGGGCGCCGTCGCCCCGAAGTGGGCTCCTAGGGGCGCAGTTTCCCCAGGGAGGGCCCCAGAGGGCTCCCTCGCCTCTGGGATAGAGTTTGGGGGCGAGGTAGCCCTTAGGAGGGTCCTTTGGGGAGCAACCGCCTCTGGGAGGGTCTGTGACGGCGCCACCATCCTTGGTAGGGCCACTGGGGGAACCACAGCCCCTGACAGGGCCCCTTGTAAGTACCCTGGGAGCACCAACTCCCCTCGGAGAGCCCCTGAAGCCGTCGCATATGGTAGGGCAAATGGGAAGGCCCCAGGTAGAACTGTCACTATACGGACCCTGGGGGCAGCTGTTCATGCACATTTAGAACAATGGGATATATGAATAGATACACCGCCCATTGCATTTCCAGTATCATCGCATGAAAAACAATGTAAAGGAGAATAAATATCCAACAGGAAAACATAAATTAGGGTGTTGTGCTGACTGACTGTTCTTCTCTCCTATTGGCTGTTATTTGGTGGGTTTACATTTTATTCCACCAATCACAGTTAAGTAAGGGATTTCTGGACGTATGCAATATGTACGTCACCACGACCAAAAGCTATAGGGTTCCTGGGAGGGGGCGCCTCTGTCATGGCCCCTGGGAGGGCCCCGGGGGCATCGCTGCTCCTAGGGAAAGCCCCTGGGGGCACTGCTACCCATACAAAGAGCGCCTAGGGGCATCGTTATCCTTTGACAGGCCTCTCAGGGTGTAATCAGTCCTGAGAGGCCCACTGAGGACGCCGCTGCAGCTGGGAGGTCCCCTGTGGGCGCTACCTCCCCTCGGAGAGCCATTATGGATGCCACCATCCCTGGGAGGCCCCCTGGGGGCACCGTTCCCCCTGGGTGGTGCCCTGGGAGCGCCGCTACCTCTGGAAATTCCCTGGGGGTGCCGTCCCCCCTAAGTGGGCTCCTACAGACACAGTTTCCCCTGGGAGAGCTTCAGAGGGCTCCGTCGCCCCTGGGATAGCCTTGGCGGCGATGTCGCCCTTAGGAGGGTCCCTTGGGGCGCAACTGCCTCTGAGAGGGTCTGTGACGGCGCCACCATCATTGGTAAGGCCACTGGGGGAACCACAGCCCCTGACAGGGCCCCTTGTAAGTCCCCTGGGAGCGCCAACACCCCTGGAAAAGCCACTAAAGCCGTCGCAGATGGTAGGGCAAATGGGAAGGCCCCAGGTAGAACTGTCACTGTAGGGACCCTGGGGGCAGCTGTTCATGCACATTTAGAACAATGGGATATATGAATAGATACACCGCCCATTGCATTTCCAGTATCATCGCATGAAAAACAATGTAAAGGAGAATAAATATCCAACAGGAAAACATAAATTAGGGTGTTGTGCTGACTGACTGTTCTTTTCTCCTATTGGCTGTTATTTGGTGGGCTTACATTTTATTCCACCAATCACAGTTCAGTAAGGGATTGCTGGACGTATGCAATATATACGTCACCACGACCAAAAGCTATAGGGTTCCTGGGAGGGGGCGCCTCTGTTAGGGCCCCTGGGGCATTGCTGCGTCTAAGGAGAGACCCGGGGGGCGCTGCTGCCCATACAATCAGCCCCTGGGGGCGTCGTTACCCCTTGACAGGCTTCTCTGGGTGTAACCAGTCCTGAGAGGTCCACTGAGGACGCCGCTGCAGCTGGGAGGGCCCCTGTGGGCGCCACCTCCCCTGGGAGAGTCCCTAAGTACGCCACCATCCTTGGGATGGCACCTGGGGGCACCGTTACCCCTGGGTGGTGCCCTGGGAGCGCCGCTACCTCTGGAAATTCCCTGGGGGTGCCGTCCTCCCTAAGTGGGCTCCTGCAGACACAGTTTCCCCTGGGAGAGCCTCAGAGGGCTCCGTCGCCCCTGGGATAGCCTTGGCGGCGAGGTAGCCCTTAGGAGGGTCCCTTGGGACGCAACCGCCTCTGGGAGGGTCTGTGACGGCGCTATCATCATTGATAAGGCCACTGGGGGAACCACAGCCCCTGACAGGGCCCCTTGTAAGTCCCCTAGGAGCGCCAACACCCCTGGAAAAGCCACTAAAGCCGTCGCAGATGGTAGGGCAAATGGGAAGGCCCCAGGGAGGACTGTCACTGTACGGACCCTGGGGGCAGCTGTTCATGCACATTTAGA